CGGCCATCCCAGGGCTCATCCACTCAGCTTGCTCTTCACCCATCTTGGGGCTACCAGGGTGGGGCTCCCCTCCTGCCTCCAAAGCAAGCCTGCCAAGAGCAAGAAGAAATGCAGGGGACCCCTAGGCTTCTGGTTGTCCCTATCCTCAACAAGCTGTGAGGAGAAGGAAAGATCTTAATGGGAGAAGGTACACAGGAGGCATTTAATAAATGCTGTTGACTGATTAAAATGGAAAGGCAATACAGCATAGTAGCTAAGAATACGGGCTTGGCTTCTAATTTACCAGTTAGTGTGGTAAGTTCTCTAAGCCTAAATTTCTTTATCTATAAGCAAGAGGTAATAAGAATTCCTTATGTCACAGAATTACTATGAGGATAATATAAAATGGTAATTTTACATAAAGAACTTAGCACTAACCTGGAATATAGTAAAAACTAAAAAAAAAGGTTGCTTATATTATTATGTTAAAGACAGACAATGCCCCATACATTCCTTTTTCCCAATCATGAGAGAAAGCACAGAATAGTGGGGATGTCAGGAGACCCTGCCGCTCTCATGAACTTGCTGGATGGCCTTCAGCAGCTGTACTTTCCTCAACTGTACAACTGAGGGAGATGGACTAGCTCAGTGCTTCCTATTTGTCTGTGACAATAAAAAATACTGAATCATACTTTAAAAAAAAAGCTCCTCTTTTCAATTCTCTTTCAATTTTTCTAATCATGCCTAGGGTCAGGTTCTATTGGTCTTAACAAATCTTTTTGTGTGTGTGTGAGGAAGATCAGCCCTGAGCTAACATCCGATGCCAATCCTCCTCTTTTTTGCTGAGGAAGATTGGCCCTGGGCCAACATTCGTGCCCATCTTCCTCTATTTTATATGGGACGCCGCCACAGCATGGCTTGACAAGCAGTGCGTTGTTGTGCGCCGAGATCCGAACCTGCAAACCCCCCGGCCTCCGAAGCAGAGCCCCTGCACTTAACTGCTGCACCACTGGGCTGGCCCCAGGATATCTTTTTAACACCTCTCTCATACTAGCTAATCTATCAAACAAAGAGAAAGCTGCCCTCACTCTTAGAATCTTCTGCGACAAGCCACAGTATTAATCTAGAATTTAATAACATTGCTTTGTTATCACTGTGTTTATTTCCATAATTACCTTTAAATTACTGGTTTTCATATATGGTAGTGACTTAACTTTTAAAAATATATTTATACCAGCTTTTAAAAAGGGAGAGAACACAAAGTAGGTAATATACTACAGGTGGCAAAAATTATGCAGGTGGCACCAGAAGTTTTGGAAACACTGGGCTAGAAGATTTTGAAGCCCCTCTCAGTCCTCAAAGTGAATGTTGGTGCCCTAGAGTGGCAGGCTGCAGATTTCACCCCAGCCTCCTTCCTTCAAGGGTCCCCTCGAACTTCACCTCCTCCCTGGAACTTCTTCTGATCCAGCAGCCTGACTAAAAGTCACTCGTTCCACTCTACCCCCAGAACATGTTCCACATCCATGGATTGTAGCATTTATTATGCAGTACTGTAACTGTCTCCTTACATTTATCTCCCCTCTAGAATATGAGCTCCTTGAGGTAAAAATTATGTCTTGGCATTTTATGGCATTTTACATCTATTACAACCTTCTGTGTCTGGTACAAAATAGGTGCTTGATGAATGTATGCTGAATAAATGAACCAATGCTTCTGCCCTTTTCTCACTAACTGAGAAGACAAAAGACAGCAGAAGAACAGTGCCAGAGATTCACTCGTCATAATTCCAATTCAACATCTCCTAGTACTTAAGCTGGATGGTAGAACACTCACCCTTCTGACCTCAGCTTCAAGCACTAAATTAAATGAGAATCCATGAATCTGTTTCAAAGAGGCCTCGCCACATGAAATGTTTGGAAAAGCAAACTTTTCTTCAAGAAACTTACCAGGATTGAGAAGAGACCATTCACACCAGCACAAGGCCAATTACAAAGGTACTTTTGACTTCTGCAATATAGACCAGAACTGGGTAAATATCCAAGAACATTTCTTCCATGTCCTTCTAGTGACAGGATTTAATACCAGAAACACTAGGCTTGAGTGGTGAAGTGAAAGCCCAAATGGAGGTCTCACTGTTGTCATAAATGACATATGAATATCAAAGAGCTTAATCATATAGAAATGATACACATATATGGGGTATGTTAAACAAAGGAAGGCCCTCTTTCAAATTCAGAGGTTGTTCCTTCTGAAATAGAAGGCTTTCTCAATTATGTTCTTTATGTCATTTTGGGCCTTGGACCCATACCTGATAAGCAGGTAGACTGTAAGAATCTTTAAGCCACGTAGGAAATGGTATTCTTTTAACTGGAATAAATTTGTCATCAAGAAGGTACAGGCTAGGGCCGGCCCCGTGGCTTAGCGGTTAAGTGCGTGCGCTCCGATGCAGGCTGCCCGGGCTCGGATCCCGGGCGCGCACAGACGCACTGCTTCTCCGGCCATGCTGAGGCCGCGTCCCACATACAGCAGCTAGAAGAATGTGCAACTATGACTTACAACTATCGCTTGGGGCTTTAGGGGAAAAAAAAATAAATTAAAAAAAAAAAAAAAAAAAAAAGAAGGTACAGGCTAGCTGCACTAAATACCCTCTGCAGGTTCTTATTAAAAATATAAATTAAAGTCCAGCACAGTCCTTTTACTCTCTGCATCTGTTTGCTATTCTGTCTCCATTATTAACACTGTAATGCAGGGTCCCCATTCAGGCAAGATTAATTCCCTGTTCCCAAAGCCTTCTGTGACACTGCAATGGATACTTCTGGAAGGCTGTAAAGGCAGGCCCAGGCATTGCTCCCCACATGTGATCAGTAAGGAGATGAGGCCTGGGCCTCTGAGCTTAACAAAAGACAAGAGGAAGTTGGGTTGGGCCTGTGATCAGAGAGGTGGTATAGCTCAGTGGTTAAGAGCTCAGACTTTGGACTCAGACAGCTCAATTCAATCCTAGCTCTTTTACAGCCTAGATGTGTGACTTTTCTTTTTTTTTTTTGTGAGGAAGATCAGCACTGAGCTAACATCTGATGCCAATCCTCCTCTTTTTGCTGGGGAAGATTGGCCCTGAGCTAATATCCGTACCCATCTTCCTCTACTTTATATGGGACGCCGCCACAGCATGGCTCTACAAGCAGTGCGTCAGTGCTCGCCCGGGATCCAAACCGGCGAACCCCGGGCCGCTGCAGCGGAGTGTGCGCACTTAACTGCTTGCGCCACCAGGCGGGCCCCTAGATGTGTGACTTTAAGCAATTTATTTAACTCCGTAAGGGACTAGGTTTCCTCATCTATAACACGGAGACAACAAAAGAACCTGATAAGATTGTAAAGCATCTGACACAATGATATGGAAGACAGTAAGAACTAAAACAAAGTGGGGTAGGGAGACTATTATCATCTTCTTCATCTTCAAATCATCATCTCCAGAATCAGCCTCTTATGCTGGGGCAGGCCAGGAAGAGCCCTGCTACTCAACCTACACATGCTAAGCAGCCACCACCCAGATACCAAAAAGATGGTATAAGGGGCAAAAATGATAGGACAAAAGCAAAACACAGAAGAGGATATGATAATAGAAATAGAATCAGTTCTTGATTAACCATGCTAACGAAGAGGAGGGAAGACTACATTTAAATTGAAGAAAAGAACCCCTTCCTCAACAGAGTATAGATGGAAACAAAATGTTTTTTTTTTAATTATTGATAGTAGCTTATTGGAGTACGTGATATAATTGTTTGAGAGACAACAGAGCAGAGTCATGAAGAGTATGGACTCTGGAGCCAGACTGCCTGCATTAGAATCCTGGCTCCACGACTTCCAAGCTGTGTGACCTTAAGCAAGTTATAGAATCTCTTTGTGTCTCAGTTTCCTCATCTGTAAAATGGGGCAAATATTAGTACCTACCAGTATTAGACAGTTGTGATGAAAATAAAACTAGTTAATACATATAAAGTGATTAGAAGAATATCTGGTTCATAATCAATTCTTAATAAATGTTAGCTTTTATTATTATTACTGTTGCTGTTATTGTTTTAGCTGATTTAATACTAAGTTGATTATGTTTAACTTAATATTAAAATTTGTTTAAATTCAGTAATTATAGAGGGAAGTAAGGGAGGCAGGTAGTAGGATTTAGAAGTGTCCAGGGCAGCAAATGGAAGACAGACTAGGGTAAAAAAAATGTACTGTTGGGCTGGCCTGGTGGCGCAGCGGTTAAGTGTGCATGTTCCGCTTTGGTGGCCTGAGATTCGCAGGTTCGGATCCCGGATGCGCACCAACGCACTGTTTGTCAAGCCATGCTGTGGCGGCATCCCACACAAAGTAGAGGAAGATGGGCATGGATGTTAGCCCAGGGCCAATCCTCCTCAGCAAAAAGAGGAGGATTGGCATCGGATGTTAGCTCAGGGCTGGTCTTCCTCACACACACACAAAAAAAAAATGTACTGTGGATAATCTGAGCACAGATAACCGCAGGTTAAAAGGAAGTAGGTAAGATCAACACAGGGATAGATATGCATATATTCATAATAAAGCAAATACAGTAAAATGTTAATGATAGAATCTAGGTAGTGGGTATATGCGTGTTCACTGTAAAATTCTCTCAACTTTGCTTCATATTTAAAATTTTTCATAATAAGCTAGAGGGAAAAAAAGGAGTAGACTTAGAGGCATCAACCCAAGTTCTGGGTCATAGCTATGCTGCCTGTCCTCTGAGCTCAAACACCAGAGCAAGCTTGGAAAAACCTGATGGTTTTGGAACTCTTGCTCATCATTGACATTTTCCTGCACCAGATAAGCAGAACTCAGGTGCTGACCTGGACAGACAGAAGCAGAGAGCAGAAACCCAGAAGTTCCACCTGAGAAGTGCCAACCTCACAGGACTATGACATTATCACCCCTGCTCAGGAAAACCTCAGAAATAAGGCTCAAGGTGAAGGAACGGGGAGGTGGAGGGTGGGCAAGTGGCACACACTCACTCATGGACTCTGCTGTCGCCATAAAGATCACTTAGGCCGAAGCTGATGTAGTGCCAGTGCTCGGGGATGTTGGCAGAAGGGCTCCCCATGTTCCTGTACATGCTGACGTAGTCCAAGGGGTCTGGGCCACCCAACCTGCAAAAGACAAAACAAAAGGGTGAGCCTGAAAGCAGACAATGTGAAGCTAAGGGGCTCTGCCTTACAAAGCTAAAGGCCCCATCCTGGAGGAACCTGGGGCAAAAGATAACTAAAGGGAGGCCACACCTCTCTGGGATAAGACCAAGGGATGGACAGCTGGAGTCTGCCCAATTCCACAAGCACAAGAGGCTCCCTTCTATCCCCAACAGGCAGGCTTCTTTTAGAAATAAAACAGACCAAGTGGTTGCCCCTTTTGCTTCTTCCTGTTTCAAATTACCAATCCCAAATGGGACTGGCAGGGATTATCTCTCCTCCATGGTTCCTGTAAACACACCAAGCATCAAGGCAAGAGGTGCATCAACCAATTGGCCTCTGTTAAAACACCATCCTGAGCATCCCCAATGGGCATTGTTCCTGGGATTAGAAGCTCAGCCCCACTCCTGCCCCTTAGACAGCTAATTCCTGAAAGACTAGATTGTGCCCTATGTTAAATACAGTTTGTTCTAAACAAACCCAATGCCTCCAGACCCCAGCCCACGCCCCATGGACTAAAGCTAGTCTTTTATCACGCGAGTGACAAAGGCCAAACTTAGGCTAGCTCAGCTCTGCACAGAGAACTGCAGCAGGAGCCAGGCTGAGCCCTGTGAGCACCTGCATCCGGAGGATGATCCCAGGAGACTGCCGCCTCAAAGGTAGAGCTGAAACATTAAATGATTTGGGGCCTCTGTGGACCATGTTAAACTTCCCCCATAATTCCAACAGAGAGGCAGCTGAGGAAGAGATTCAGTCATTATTTCACTCTGAGGATTTAATTCAATAAGGGTTCCCTTTAGTAGAGTAATTAGTGCTCTTTAAAAAATATCCTGCTTTTCTTCAGAACGGATAGGGAAACTTGGTAGATTTGAGAAACAGACAAAATGGAAACCATCAGTGGAGGGAAGTCTGCATTTAGCCCACAAACACTCTGCATTTGAGATGCCTTGGCCACATGACTGTTCCACAGACTGCAAAAACTTTGCCTGCCGCTGGGACATTGATGGAGTGTGCTTTGCAATTGGGATCGTATGCTGAAAGGACGTTAACAATCAAATAAAAGACATGTTACATGTGATCCCAGCAAGCATGACAGTACCATGCAATTTAAACACTATTTAAAACCAGTAGGTCTGGTTTCATCCTCTTTTGCCAGAATATTATTTGCCTTTGTAGAAATGCTTATTCTCTGCTAGGAAACGCTAAGTTATTTATAGAACTTGTAAGAAAGTCACTACAAATAGCTTAGAATCTCAACAGAGTGGATTAGGAAAAGGGGCAAATCTCCATGTCTTTCCTTAACTCTGATTTTGCCAAATCATTTGACTAATTCCACAACCAGTTAGATTTAGAAAAGTTTGTCAGGGGAAAGAGGCAAGAAAAGGGAAGCTCTCCCAGGAAGGACCCCATGAAACTGCAGAACTCTGGAAAAGATGGGAGTGACTGCAGGCTTCATATCTGCTCCAGCTTCCTGCTGCATATTCTCAGTCTTGCCCCTCCCTCAGCCGAGGTCCATCCAGCAACAAGTGGCAAAACTATGTCCACTCTTCCATGCTCCATCTGTGACCTCACTGCAGCTCTCTTTCTGGCCAAGTCTCCCAGGAGGTATTGCATCAAGGAGAGAGGCTTTACCTTAAAACCCCACTGCAAAGAATGACCAAGAGTCAGACAAAATTAAGCTAGTCCCCAAGCACAGAGTGTAATATTCTACTTACTCAGAGACCTGACGGGAAGCAGACGAGTATACAGAAAATAATCATATTTTGCACTTAGAGAAAGATGTTATTGAAGGACCCAGAGCATCCCTCAACTTAATTCCTACAACACTTAACTCTGCAGGGCAGGTACAGGACTGGAGTGGCCCCAGAGCACAGGCTCTGCCTCTCTGCTTCTGCTCCCTGCTCACTAAAGTCTCCGCTTTCAGCCAGGATGTCCCTGCTGGCCAAGGACCACTAGCCAAAGAGCCACCCTTCTGTTGCAAGAAAAGGAATCCCAAGGTAACCTGGCCCACAGCCAGACCCAGGCAGCCTCAGTCTGTCATCCTGCCATGAGAACTGAAGAGGCCTTGTGGGACCCCAAATGTGAGGGATATCAATGAATTAATTTCAGGATCTTAATTATGCAACCCCCTTTGAATCTTAGAAAGAATCATTTGCTGAGCTGTCCCCTCTTACGTTTTTCTTCATCTATGCAGCATTTCTAATTTCACAATCCTTTTTAGTCATCATTACATGCTGGCCCATCTCTGGCCTTCATCATTCACCGAGTCTACACCATTAACAAGTTTGCAGCAAGAAGAAGAAAAAAAGTTGCCCAAACCAGTCTTAGTCCTTTGCACGTGCTTCAATACCTTTTACACACAACTCTATCCTTCATGGCCAGTTGGGTGACATAAAAACAGTTGCCCAAGTCCGTGTAGGGATTTCTCCCTACACTCAAATGCAGCCTGAAAAAACAGTATGGCAGAGGCAGGCCCACTTTTCTCATGACACAATCCAACAGAGTTCATCACAATACATATTTAAATATAGAGGTGCAATTAGAATGGGTGATTAAGTTATCAAGAGCTGCTTTTCACTCAGAAGCTCTCTTCAAAAACTCCTCTCAACCAAAGAACAGTGTGCTTGCCAGAAAGAACTGTACCACTGGCCACACCTCCTCCGGCTACCAGACAGAGACAGGCTGCTCCCCGTGGCCCTCCCTAAGCAGCAGGTGGCTGGTCCTCAGGCCCTCCACACTGTCAGCCTCTTCACATCCTCCCATCGACACAGGGAGCTGGCCTCAGCCCTATCCAGCCTAGCTTCTGCCATCTCTGGAGGAAGTAAGAGGTTGTCATGTAGGAGAAAGACTCAGTCTTAAAGGGAAAGGTAATCAGCAAAGACATCCCCTTCATTCACTTCTACCTTGGGTCTACCTACTCCCTCTGCCACAGGCCAAGCAGATACCTGAAAAGTCTTCCAGGATTCAACAAAGGGACCATCTAATACAATGCTTGCATGAATGTGGTTCTGGACAGATTCAACCAATTCTTGTCAACTTTTGGTCCAGAAAGACCATGAAGACAGGCTCTTTTCCAGAGTCCCCAGAACACCTGTTTTGCCCAGAGGCTGCAGGAAGAGACAGGTTGCAAACAGGAATGAGAAACTAGAAAAGACCATTCCTACCCCAAGGGCAGCCCATCTGTAAACAGGTCTAATCCTTAACAGAGCTACTTGAGGGTTACTCTCAGCTTCCCTGAGAAACTGCTGCCTAAATCCTAAAGTTCGTGGCCAGGAAGTTCCTCTTAACATCACACTGCACTTCTTTCCTCTTTGTCTAACTCCCAGGTCTTCATCATTTACCAAGGTCTCCTTCAATCCTGAGCCAAATCATGGATCTCCCTGACCCTGCCTGCCTCTGTTCTAACCAAGGACCTAAAGCAAAGCAGCTGCAGAGCCAGAGGAAGCTCTGCATGGAGAAAGAGAACTGTGCAGAGTAAGCAGAAAGTTTATCAGGAAAAGTTGCCCGGTGAAACTTCAAACGCAAAAGCATTGCACTGATATGATGTCTGAGCTCACTGGGAAGTATCAAAATGAGACCTCCTCCTCATCTCTTCACAAGCACGACGCTCACAGCTTGCTCCCCTCCTAACCCACAGGAGAGCCCGGGTCCCCAGACCGGCCCCAACCCTATGCTGTCTCGTGCCCTCTGAGCTCCTCCAGCCCGGCTCCTCCAAAGCTCTCTCATATGCTCCCCAGGCCCCGCCTCGCCTCCCTCATCCCGCTTCAGCCGCCCCTCCTTGGCTTCCCCTCGCCCACTAATGACCCCCTACAGGCGCCCCCTCCTTTCACCACGTTTACAGTTCCCTCTCTCCTACCGTTCCCCTCTCAGCTCCTACACACACCCCCAATTCACTTTATTCTCCTAATCTCAGTTAACCCTTCAGCCTTCCCTCCTTCGTTAACCCTTCGCTACCCACAGGCTCCGTTAACCCCTTTGTCCCCATTCGCAATTTGAGCCTTAACTCCTTCCCTCGCAGCAGGAAGCCCTCCTTCCAGTGCTTTAACCATTCTCCGTCTCCTCCTCCAACCTTGCAAATTACTTCGCCCCGGCGCTTTAACCCTGCCCAGCCCGCCCCTGTCCGTCTCCCCGCGGCCCAGGGCATACCAGTACTTGACGATAGCGGTAACCTGGAGCGGGTTTGGCTGGTCAGGGTAAAGGCGGCGGCACTCTCCGTAGATGGCGTGCAGTCCCGGGGGGAAGAGCGAGGCGAAGGCCGGGGGGGCAGTAGGGCCAGGGGCCGGGGGCGCGGTGGGGCCGGGGGCGCCACTAGGCCGCAGCTCCGCCATCGGGGCGTGTAGGGCGCTGGGGAAGCCAGGGAAGGCGGACGAGGCGAGAGCACTGACGCGCCAGCGGCGGACTCCGTGGGTGCGACTCCCCGAGGGGACGGGGGCTGCAGCGAGGTGTAGGCTTCGCGCCTGCGCACGGCGCACCGTCCGCCCTGGCAGTCGCCGCCGCAGAGACCGCCAGAGGGTGCCTCGGCGGCCGCGGGGCGCTCAAGGGGGCGGGGCGCCGGCGCGCCCTATCCCAGCATCCATTGGCTAGTGTCTGTGCCAGTCACAGGTAGGGAAGGCGTGACTTGACCATAGGTCCCGCCTCCCTCTTCCTGCGTTTGGGGTGTCCCAAGGCTCTTGGCCTCCCCCTAGTGTTAGGAGGAACCTAGACTTAAATAGAGATGTTGTGGCATGCTTCTGAGGTGCTAGGGTCTCACGAAAGCCGTGGAAAGTGCACCGACGAAAGGCTTCTCACTGTTTTGCTGACACGCTGCTAACAAGGATTTAAATATAAATCTGACAATAGATTGATTCATTCGTCCGTGTGGCATTAGTTTTATTTTATTATTATTTTTTTGTGTGTGTGAGGAAGATCAGCCCTGAGCTAACATCCATGCTAATCCTTCTCTTTTTGCTGAGGAATACCGGCTCTGAGCTAACATCTATTGCCAATCCTCCGCTTTTTTTTTCCCCCCCAAAGCCCCAGTAGATAGTTGTATGTCATAGTTGCACATCCTTCTAGTTGCTGTATGTGGGACGCGGCCTCAGCATGGCCGGAGAAGCGGTGCGTCCGTGTGCGCCCGGGATCCCAACCGGGGCCGCCAGTAGCGGAGCACGCACACTTAACCGCTAAGCCACGGGGCCAGCCCCTGGCATTAGTTTTAATAGATAACAAATCTGAATGTTACCTACCGTCTTTGAATGTCCATTGACTATATCGACTGACACTAACACCGCCAAATTCAGGGGTCATATTTTGAAATACCTATTTTGGAATTCTGTCAGAAAGTAACAAGAGTTAGGTAAACTAGGATCGATTAAAAAGACTTGGTAATTATTTAAAAAATGCTTTTAGTGAAGATGACAATCTCTTTTTTCTTCTGTTTTAGGCAGATGTCTGCAGATTACTTTGAGGAACATCATTATCTACTGTGGCCTGCCCTTCCCCATTACCTTGGCTCTCTGTAACTGGAAAAAAAGTTAATTCCGAAGGCACTGAGTTGGGAATTACTTTCCTGTTTACAATAACTTTTCATATAGTAATGTCTTCCACTCAATGATCTGGAAATTCCAAGAGAAAGGGATAGAAGGGAGTCCTGCTTACCAGTACTATTGACTAAAAGATCCCTGCAGCTTGAAGGCGGGGAGGAAATAATCTAGAGAAGAATGCACTGGGCTCATTTGAAAGCAGTGACACATAACCTCTCTTCACCTCCATTTTCTCGCTCATCAATGTAAATTCTAGCTCCCCATGAAAATTAAAGAGATAGAGCATTTTCTGAAGTTATTAGATGAACGATGTTTTAATAGCCAAAAAATCATCTATACCAGTAGCTTCAAATGCCAGTCTTCGGACCAATGTTAGCCTGTTGCAAAGTTCACACCTACCCAGGAAAAACGCGAAAAGCAACAAAAATGTACCGTTTTTTCTAAAAAGCAAATTTTATGCAATTTAAATTATTTTCTTTTGTTCTGGGAATATGTCCTTTCCCGTGTGTGTGTATTAAAATTTCCTTTAGTCGAGTGTGATGGCGATAGATTTTTATTAATGTCTTATAGACCCAAATAAAAACATGGCAATCTTATATCGTCCAGGGGAAGTGGTGGGGAGTGGCAGGAGTGATCTGTAAAATCCAAATATGCACGAATTACTGACCAATCCAAACCGAACTACAGACACGTACTCAAGAAGACTACTTTCATACAACTTTACATATTTCAGCATGCACTGCTAATCCCTTCAAGCGGATTACAGATCCAAGCAAGCAATACTCCCATCAATCGGCATCCGTGTCTATTATCAATGGAGACTACAAAGCCCAGGGTACTGTGCGTCATAAACGCGACGCCCCGTCTCTTAAAGCAGGCGGGGCTCCGAAGTTGCCTGGCTCGCTAACCCTGGTGCAAGGCATGCTGGGGTTGTAGTTCTTCGGAGGCGAGGTCGGGCCGCTCCCTGCCGCCCTCTACCAGCGGCTAGACTGCGCATGCGTGTCAGTGGCGTTAGCAGCGGACCCGGCTCGCAGTTCCTTCCTCGGAAGGAAAGATTCCTCTGCCATGGAGTCCTACGATGTGATCGCCAACCAACCCGTCGTGATCGACAACGTGAGTTGCGTCTTTCCTATCTCTAAAGGGACGTATGCTCTCCTTCCTGAAGGGATTGCTTCCCGGGTTTCAGCCCGGGCCGCCGGCTCTTTGTCACTGGCCCGGCCTGTCAGGCGGGTTCAGCCGCCGCCGCCTCCGTCCACCCCACCCCCACCCCCCAGTCCGCAGGCAGGGCGGCCGGCCAGCAACCGTGGGATGGAGAACTTTGGGATGGATAGAGGGAAGAGCTGTAGTGCGGGCCGGGTTCTTGGGCCGTTGGCTTGAGGGGCCTTAACCGATGTGAGCGCCCGGCGCCCATCCCCTCCCCGGTTTCCGATAACTCTATTGGCTGCTCTGGCTGTCCATCTTGACTGATGACCCCGCCTCTGGGCCTTGCCGGATAAGGGCAGCCCTCTGCAGTGATTGGCTCGCGCCCCTGCCGTTTTTCCGGGCCGCCATAGTGTGTCCCCTCTCTAAGGGGCGGGGCGATGCATGAGGGTTGTGAGGATTGGTTTCGGGATCTCCCGGTGTAGGGGCCTGACGGGCTAGGGCCTGCCCGCGGGTAGAGAAGGGGTAAGTTTCCCTCTGTCTGCAGCTGGCCGGAGGCTTGGCGGTGTATCTGGGTGGGGCCCGAGAATCTGGTGCGAAAAATAGCCATAGGATTTCAGTTATTTCTGTGATTATAAATTATAACGTGAATAAAGGTCGAGAAGAAAGGAGAGTGACAAAGCAAGCAGGGAGATACCTTCCTCTTCGGAACGCCTAATTGCTGGGGAAAAAAATTACCAAACATAACATTTGCCAGGCGCTCTAGCGCTGACGTGGGTGGGGGGAGTGCACATCCATTCGAGTGGATCCTCACAAAAACTGGGTGAATGGTTAAGGCAGGACGTTTGATCCTCGTTTTACAAATGACAAAACTGAAGCGCGAAGTCTAGTGAGCCCAGGGTCGCAGAGTAGAGGTGCCCTAAATCCAGTGCTTTATCCGTTAGCATCAATAGTGACAAATGGAAAGAATCTAAATACTGCTCTTATTTGGGGCGGAGGGGGACAATTGTAAAACAACTGTTTTACGTTTCTGTCTTCCACTCAAATGTTTGGTCCCACCGAGATTGGTTGATACCTTTTCTGTGCCTCTTCTAAATGGCTCCATGGAGGCAAAACTGCCTATTCCCTGTCCGGAGCTGACTGTCAGATGCCCTCTGTTGACCCAGCCCTTGGGACATCTTAGGCATGTTACAAGGTTGTTTCATTTGCATCACCTCGTTTAAGCGTCCGGTAGGTAGATAGGAATTACTACCCCCAGTTTATGCAGGAAAGTGAAGCTTGGAGAGGTTTAAATAACAGTATTCAAACTACCTGGTTTATGAGTTGAAGAGCCAAGACTTAAATTGAGATTGAGTTCCAAGGTCCTCACTTTTTCCAAGGAAAGGTGCTTTTTTTGTTGTTAGCTTTCCTTCTCTCCAGGGGTATGAGGTTGAGCTCAGTGACACACCTCATTTTGGGGAGGACTTTTTTTGTCTCTCTCACTAGACTATTAAATCTTTGTGGGAAAAGATAGTATTCCTTCGTTTTTCATTACTCTCGTCTTCACCTCACTCTACACACACACTACCTAGGTCCTGGCACCACTATGTGCTCAATAAATGTTTTTTCATTGGATTGATGGGTGAGTGGATGAATGATTGAATAGCTTTATCACATTAACAAAGAAGTCCCTAAATAAAGAGAGGTTGGGGGTGGGGCGGAGGACCCTAGTTTGTTATGGCAGAGGGTTAGGTATAACTGCTGGATCTTGATGTTGAATTTCAGAGAACACCACTATCTCTGTCTTCAACCAGTTTGTGTGTGCTTCATCTGCCTTTTTTGTTTTAAAAAGAAAATACAAATAGAGATTAGCCATTTCCTGTTTTCATCAGCAGTGCAGAAGGAACGGTCTGTCCATCCCACCAGATCCTCTGCTTCTTGAATTGTTTGGAAGGAGTAGTTCCATCTCCAGCCATTTTCTTTAATGTCACTTAAGCAAATGCTTCTTAGTCTCTCCTTCCTCTCTCTTGGTAGTGTATTTTGAAATGCATCAAATCAGTGGTGAATTTTCAGTTTTAAAATTTAAAGAATTGACTTGTTTTTTCTCTGGGACAACATTTTCTTTTTTTTTTTGTGAGGAAGATCAGCCCTGAGCTAACATCCATGCCAATCCTCCTCTTTTTGCTGAGGAAGACCGGCTCTGAGCTACCATCTATTGCCAGTCCTCCTCCTTTTTTTCCCCAAAGCCCCAGTAGATAGTTGTATGTCATAGTTGCACATCCCTCTAGTTGCTGTATGTGGGACGCCACCTCAGCATGGCCGGACAAGTGGTGCGATGGTGCGCGCCCGGGGTCCGAACCCGGGCTGCCAGTAGCAGACCTCGCACACTTAACTGCTAAGCCACGGGGGCCGGCCCCTGGGACAACATTTTCTTTATTATGCCAATAATTCTGCCAAAAGGTAAAGTAGGAGAAACTTAAGTAATTTTCCCATTAGGATTTACTGAGCATCTGCCACATTTTTAGATTTCAGGCCTCAAGTAGTTCTTGCTGTTTGACATTTATAAAGTTTTGTTTTGTTTCAAAGTGAAAAAGGGATAGGAAAAATCATTTGAAATATTTGAGCCAACTTTATATTATAAGAATAATATGTCTCTACCAGATTTAACAGCTCCATAGCTTAACATGTTGCTACAATTTTATTTTCTGGGTTAAGGAGACTGTAATTAAAAGAAAGGAGAACAAAGAAAGCAAGGAAAAGAGGGAAGAGCCCCAATATCAGTCCACTGCCTTTCCCAGTCTTCAGACAGTTGTTGACCATTCCTTTCATCCTGTTCTGGCACCAAACCAATTCTCAGAATTTAATGAGGAAAATGGAGGGGTGTCTGTGCGTG